CCATTGTGCTGACGAAGTTTCGTGCGCCCCGCATAAAAGAACTCTGCATGCATTGTGTGTGCCATAGAGAATGTATGTATGTATGTATGTATGCATGTATGTATGTATGTATGTATGTATGTATGTATGTATGCGTATGTGTATGTATATGTATATGTATATGTATGTGTATGTGCATGTGTATGTGTATATATATATATATGTATCTGGCCATGTATATATATATATACACACATACATATACATACACATACATACATACCCCTACATACACCAACCCGAGACTCTCTGAGAATAAAGTTGGCTTTTTGTTTTGGTCCTCCCTCCAGGATTGGCCAAACAGCTGCAACCTGAATCTCTATGAGAGTGGAGGCGCGCGGCCAGCACAAGCTCCGGGAGCACGGGGTCAGTCCTTGCGGCGAGGTATGTCTGTCGGCTGGCACGCGGATGATGAGCAGCTCTTTCAGGGCAAGTCCTGGCCTCGGCTTGGGCCTTGCCCTAAGCCCGCAAGAGGAGAACTCAGAACGGACCGGAGGCAGCGGGACTGCCGCATCATCTCCCTGTCGCTGGGAGCCACGCGCGCCTTCGAGGTCCGATCGAACTGGCGCGGGGCCCGGGCCGAGTGGCGGTCGCAGGAGAACCGAACCCAACGGACTCGGACTCGGAAGCCTCAAAGGTCGGAGCTCGATTCCACCATGCGCCTGGAGCTCGGGGACGGGGACCTCTGCACCATGGCCCCTTGGCGCGAAAAACCAAGCAGCCCGAGATGCGAAATGCCTCGCCGGGGAATCCGAGGAGGGTCTGGTCCAGAAGCACTTCCAGCACCGCGTGCCGCGCGAGGACAAGGCGAAGTCATGTGAAGTCCCGGAGCCGGTTGGATCCCTGGGATCTCGGGTCACTCAGGTGACGGGGCCTCGCATCAACCTAACGTGGCGGTGGATTGCAATTTGCCTGCAGTGTTGATTCATTGGTGTAGGCACAGCCGTCGCCACACAGCTAGCCGACGATGTTGCCAGCAAAGGTCAGGCATGCGCCGCACTGTCCGCATGCTCGACATCGATGACAAAAAGTGCGAGTGCGTGTGAGGTGCAGAGAAAGGTCTTTCTGCACGGCGGAATATGCTGACCCGCTACCTTATTTTACAGTCCTCTGATTCTGAGGAAGATGCGCGAAACAGCACGTGCTCGCGCAGAGATGGAAGTGGCCGCAGCCCCAGCCTGCATGAGATTGATCAAGGGCGCTTCTCTGCAGCTTGCCGTCAGCCCGAGTGGCATCTGTTCGCTGTGGCAAGGACTGCCCTCTTTTTCTCTCGCAAAGAATGCGGAGAATGCTGGCGTCCATCCTTAATGTTCCCATATCGGAGCCCGCCTGCAGCTCAGTGTTCAGCTGTGTTTTGTGCCAGCATCAACTGTTCGATTGAGTGATGCAGCGTTTTCTGCAGGCAGGGGAGAAGGAGTTCGACTCCTCTGCGGTGGAGGACAGCGCAATCCTGCCAAAGATTTCGTCGGGGATCTGGGCAGTGCCCAGGAGAGCGTCGCCAAAGCTATTGCAGCGCTAACCTTCAATCACAACCTGCCTCCGTCATACGTCCAGTGCGCAGACAAAGGTCTTGGGTTGGGTTACAATACAAGGCAGCGCTGCTTGGGACAAACATGGTCATCCCTTGGAGGTACTTCTTGAATCAGGAGCCCCGGCTGTGGACAGCGCAGCAGGACCGGTGACCGGGGTGTCCCTCGTCATGTAGTCGGGCTGTTCAGTTCTTTTGCGCGGCCGGCAGCGGCACTAATGGTGCAGGCAGGGTTGAAGATGTCCCTAATCAGGCCCTAATCTTAGCACGAGCTCTTCGTGGGAGAAGAGCGGTGCCATTGACAGCTTCATGCCGAAGCATCATGCTTGAAGCACGGCTGGGAACACAGTTCTTGGTTCGGCCAAATGTAGAGTAAACAGAGTGAGCTAGTGAGTCTGCGCACATGCAAGACACTTCTCACGGACGCCTCCCGTCCTATTTCTTCACTTCAGACTTGACTTCGCTTGGAGTTGCTGCGTGAGAGGTGCACAGGGCCGCCCAAAATAAACCGCACGCCAGCTTTCCTTCGTCCGCTATAAACCTATATATAGCAAGTCCAAGACTCAAGAGACAATCACAGGCAGACGACAAACCACTGTGCTGTTATGCCTCATGCTCTTCACAGGACTCTGATCACGAGCGTGTCTATCGTCCAGTTCTTATTCAGGTCTCTCAAAGCCATGACCGGGCCTACAATTTGCGACTGAAGCCCTGAGGCAGAAACCTGATTTTTGAGCGCAGCTAGCTGAGGTTCGGTCTTGGAACGAGTCCAGCGAGGACTCCGCGAGGCGCCAAAGAGCTGCCTCACAAAGTCCCGGACTTTGTGGTCGGCAGGATCCGCTCCCGAACGTAGACCTGAATCCTAGCCCGGAGGACAGCGGGGTCCCCGGCGAGATATTAAAAAGCCGCGCAGTGCTGGGAAGCTGATGTTGGGAGGTCTGCAAAACTTGCAGGCGGCTGCAAGGGCCTTGGATGAGAGCTGGAAGTAGCTCCTCATTACACCTATTGTGGAAGCATCCATGATTCCCGAGGTAGTCAGCTTGAAGGTGCCGGGGCTGTTTTTTGTGCGCTCACTTGGAGATGGAAGGAAGCGGCAGGATGCAAGTTCGCAGCATCTGAGACCTGCGTGGCTACGTGTTGCCGTTGCGGTTTCGTGCACCGCCACAGGCCTCCACAAATGCTGCTTACGGGACTACATCGGCGAAAAACGAGGATGCCGCATGCACAGCCTAAGCGCTTCAAAGGCTGACTAACTGACCGATCCGGTCTGGAGAGATGCCTGGCAACAGCCTCTTGTAAGGTGGTCCGGCAGCGCAGAGGGGAGTACCCCAACATCAAGGCGCAGTCTGGACAGCCGAGTCCAAATTATGGTTTCTGTCGGAAGCACCGGGAAGGCCTGGTTCGGACCAGACCTCATTGACGAGGTCAGTTGTGTTTTGACAAGCAGCCATCCTAGAAGACACTCGCTGTCGAGGACTCCTATGTGTTCAAGCGTGTTATGACGAACAAGCTCCCGATTGCTCAGCACAAGGACTGCAGTTTGCAATGATCACGCTGCATCCTGCTTCCCCGGACCAGTTTTTCATGCTAAGCTCACTGACATCTCCAACGGCTTATAATTCGAAGCTTTACCGCTGCCAGGCCGTAGGGGCACCAACAAGCTATGCCTCTCCTCTCCCACAAAGTTATCGGCAGAAAGGAACTACAAACATCCAGTGCTAAGCTCACTGTCTTCTTGCCTCTGTCCTGTTGCAGACTGAAATCACGGAGCTGATCAGGGACAACCAAATCGTGCCCGGGCACCCAGTCGGATGTACATGCCAAACATCGACTGAGCCGAAGACCGGAGTGATGTTCGCACTACTCGATGACAGGCTCATTCAGGGCGAGACAGGATGCGGCAAAACTACACAGGCACAGATAGCAGCCTAATGTTTCCAGCAGCTAAGTAAGCCTGAGCCGAATCAATCCGTTGCCGTTGTCGTGCTGAGGATGGCAACAACTTTCCAACATGCTAGACTGCTGGAGAAGTGCAGGTGCCGCAGTACATCTTGGAGGTGCAATTCTTTGTGCATCAGGTGTAAGTGTGCCCGCTGAAGTACTATGAAGTACTCAAGCGTTGACCTTCCGAGCCTGTCTGCCAGGCAGCACTCCGCATGCAGGCAGAAGCCAAGAATGGCAAGGCACCTGTGCGAAAGGCTGCTGTAGCCACGAAAGCTTCTGTCGCATCGTTGCAGGGAACAGACAATCGCCGGCCTGTGCGGATCGTGGTCACACAGTCCGGGACCTTCAGAGCGTCTTTGAGAGCGTGTTCCATGCCGCTTCATGGTGTCCGTCGCTTGAGGCCTCGGCGGATTGCCGCCATCACCGTGGCGAAGCGCGTTGCCGAGGAGCTGGGCGAAAAGGCACCAGACTGGCAGCAGTCTTGAGGCGGAGCCTTCTGATTCTGTGTTCGGTGGAGGTGGGAGAAGGGGTCGTCGGCTACAAGATCCGCGGCACCACAGCCCGCCCGGCGTGGAATGTGAGACCCCTGCTCCCAAGACCTCGACTCTTCGCGGCAGGTGGCTTCTCCGAAATGCAAGCTGCTCTTCTGTACCACGGGCGTGGTGTTGTGCCGTCACTCAGCTCTAGTGACTAGTATCTTCGTGGAGTGATTGTCAGCGGCAAGAACGGGGCTGGCCTTTGCGGTGGAGTGAACCCTTTTCTGTGTGCAGTCACCCCTCCTTGAGGCGCAGATTGGCGAACGAGGGATCAAAGTTCATGTTCGGCCCAAAGACGGTCGGCCAACTTAGCTTCATTGTTGGCCGCCTTCCACGCATGCCTTTCTAGAACCCAGGGCGGGTGATGAGTTCGCTTTGTCACAGCATCTTGGAAGGTCACGCACCTGCTGGTGGACGAGGTGCTTTGAGCAAGTCGTAATGCATGGTTGAAGATGCCTAGCTGCTGCTTTAGACTTTAGGGCTCCAGGTACTGTGTTGTGTGCTTCTGTGGCTTGGCTGTTCGATTCAGACTCAGCTGCAGGTGCATGAGCGTGGCGTGGAGACGGATTTTATGCTTACCTTCCTGCGCGAGGCCCGCGGCTCATACTCCGTACCCCGTACCCCCCGAAAGCTAAGAACAGCTGCGTGCTTAATGTTACGTCTCTCTTTTTTGAGCACGTTTCTCAGGGGCCGTGTCCAGCGGGATATATTCTGGCGTCGGTAATAGTAACCCTCACTTATTGTAGCCCTTATATATAGCAACCCTTATAGCCTTGTGGTGTCCCTTATGGTAAGTAGCGCTTATGGAAAGCCTGGTTGTCCTGTTCTTTCCCTGCAGATTCGGGTGAACCGCCCCAACCTTCGTGTGGTGCTCATGAGCTCTGGCCTCAGAGCCTCTTTGCTACGAGGTTACAACGAAGGTGGAGTTACGGGGACTTGCGAATATATGATATATGTATAGATGTATGCAAAGGCATCTGTAAATAAATAACTAAGCGTGTATGTACGTGTATGTACCTACATACACGTACAAAACTGTGCTATGAACTAATTTTGATAGAGCCTGCTTCCTCCAACTCTCATCTTCGTAAAGGTGCCACCATGGACACCGAGTGCTTTCTGAAGTACTTCAGCCGTTGCCTAAGTGGGTAGTTGTCAAAATTATGGTCCCTTTTGGGGTACCCTAAATAATAGGTGCCGGATTATAATAAGGACCCCAAAAAGGGACCATAATTGTGACAGCCACCCAAGTAGCCTCCATGGTGCAATGCCGGGTCTCAGCAGATTTCATGTGCATGGCCAGGTCTTCCCGTGAAAGTTCCGAATGGGGACGACCGGAGCTCAGCACCAATACTAAGGCCCCTATAATTTAAGGTATATTCCTTATTTAAGGGGTCTTGGGCTCTCTGGGATATTAGTTATATGCTTCGTTTCGCCGTTCTGCTTCAGATGTTGCTGAGGCCAACAAAATTACTCTCAAGCAGCCGCCCATGGTGGTCTGTCCGGCACCTGGAGATGTAGTGGTAGAGATTTGATATGAGGCATCAAGTTCTCAAATCTTTGGAGCAACGCCCGAGGTAGGTCATTTTGTTTTGTGTAGTCCTTCGTGCCGGTGCTGCCAGGCCCTGCATTCTGCCACCCGGTGGCGGCTGCCTTGGACTTCTTCGGTGCCAAGGGCAGTTCTTCCGTGGCTGCAATCGATCGCAGGCAGAGTGCTACATGGAAACCATCAATGCTCGCCTTGGCGGTGGCCTTGAGCCGCTCGAGCCCTCGTCCTTCCCTGCGGCCGCGTCTGTGAGGCCGCAACCGATCTCCCGAAGCCAAGAGCCGGCTGCCCAGAAGAAGGCCCTGTATAGGATCCGGGTGAGGCCTGCATCTACGCACTCCAGAAAGCGGCCAGTAAGGGGCCGCTTTGTTTCGTTCCTTCCGGGATCCCGATCCTCGGCTGAGCTCCTCAGGCCCGGAGGAGCTTCGCAGGGAGCCCACCGAAATGCCCGCGCCCTGGGTTCGGGGACTCGCTGCCTTGGGTTCGGGAGACGCAGGGCCGCTTCTGAGCGCTTGTTGCGAGGTCGGAGAGTGATGGCATCGACTACGATCTTATTCTGAAGATCGTGGAGGAGCCTGCTACTCAAAGTGATGATACAGGGTCTGCAGATCTTGAATCGTCAGTCTGGGGTCTGCGGGTTTCCTCGGCACTGCAACGGCTGGTGGATTCTCTTGTATACATGCGAGGACCATGTGGCCCAAAATAGTTAAGAGCGTCGTGCAAGCAGGCCAATGAGGCCGTGCACGAGAGCAGTTTGCAGCCATTGTGGCCTCAATGTCGGGCTACTTGGCGTCAACGGATTTGCTGTGATGCGCCGTCGCCATGAACGGCGCTGCGCGGGCCGCCGTGCCGCAGCCGTGAGGCCTCCCTTCCCCTCCTTGCTGCCCCGCGTGGATGTGGACAGAGACATTCGCCGGATGTCCGCACGGGAATTGGGGGAGAAGCTAACGGTGACGGGCAAAGAACTGGAGTCTTTGTTGAAGCTCGACAAGGAGATGGGCGAAGAAGCGATGAGGTGTGTCGTCGTAGCATGGCGGCCCGGATGCGATGAAAAGGCCCCTCTTCGTCCAGCGATGGCCTTGAAGCCGGGAGACACGGCAGACAGCGTGGAAGTGCTATCGGGAAGGGCTTACAACACATCCACCGCCCAATGACAAACCAGTACACGTGGTTGATCATGGTTGCACATGCTTCGCTGGTCACAACCT